GAACGATTATCCTTTGGTAGTTACTGCGTAGCTAAACACCACAGGGTGCTGTAGAAATTCTACAAGATAAGCCAATCAGATTACTTGGTTAATTAAAAATATATCTCGACTCATTTCCTGTGGTTGTGAATTAATTCGCGAAGTCAGCGCACCCGGTTATGGCCGCGAAAAAAAATTACAAAGGGCGAAGCCCAAACGTGCAGCGATATCTGGATAGTTGTGGCCGGGATATAGATATATCTGAGATGATAGCCCCAAATCTTGCTGCAGGAGCCAGACTTGCAGCCAAGAATGAAAGCCAAGCTCTGGACGAGAAGACTGCCAGAACCTACGAGCTCCGGCTTATCACACTGGAAGAGTTTGCGAAGAAGAACGGGGATGATGCCGTGCTTTTCGGCTCTAACAAGAGGCCATTCTTAGCAGCGACATTGCAAACGTTCATGCGTAAGTGTTCAGTACTTCAGTAAAGTTTTTGAGACACAGTTTTAGCGTTCTGCGTACTTAGCGTTGGTTGCGGCTTTCTTGTCATAGGACCCTCGTATTTAACCAGTTGTAATGCGTCTATTTACTCTGTTTGACTGCTTTATTCTGTAGCTTATCGTAATTAACAACGTGTTTTTTTCACTGCTGGGTCGGTCGGATGACGGTCGAATAATCAGTATGTTCTTTTATTTCATTGCCAAAAGATTATCCGGTCGACGAAGAAAGGTTGGAAAAAAAATGTACCTCTGAATAACTTAACCACAAAATCATGTGAGTAGGAGTATTTGGGTCGGCATTTGTGCTGAATACGGATCGTCCAACAATGCTGAATGGAGTCCCCCTTTCATAAATTGTCATACAGAGTGGTTATTCTTTTTGATCCTTATTCTTTTAATAACGTAAGGCGCTGGCCTGGTTAGTGCGCAATAAGCATTTGTGATCTTAGCCTAGTAGCAATAGAGCAAACCGCGTTGAATAAACAGCGAGAGGCGGTTTGTTAAACATCGCACTAAAATGTGTTGCTCCTGTATGTGCCACAGATTGCGTTATTGCAAAGTATGGTATTTTAAAACGTAAAGGCATGCTTTTGAAACCAAAGTTCGCAATAACGCAAAACATGGCGAATGAATGGTAAGACATGGTTTGAAATCATCGCAAAATGCAGTTAACCTGAAAAAACCACAGATTGCATTATTGCAAAATGTGGAATTAAAAGAAAAGTTTTTGTCCATGCTTTAGAAACCACAGTTTGCAATAACGCAAAACATGGCGAATGAATACTAAGACATGGTTTGAAATCATCGCAAAATGCGGTCAACCTGAAAAAACCACAGATTGCGTTATTGCAAAATGTGGAATTAAAAGTAAAGGCCTTAGTCCATGCTTTTGAAACCACAGTTCGCAGTACTACCGTGCGGGTCAGTTTTTTTGGCGGGGGAGCGAAATGGGAAATGGCGCGAAGATAAGCGGGAAGGCCGGGTTACCCGTGACAATATTGAAATGACATGGGCTCCAGTTGAAAATCCGAGTCGAGGTCAAAGCGGCATTCGGGATTGTAAGCCTCTGGTTCGGTTTACGGAGAAAAATTGAAGGTTCGAGAAATCGGGATTCTAGTGTATTTGCACGAAAGTGAAATGAATTCATCTTTCGCAATTGCTTCGTAAGTGTATTCGTAGCTTATGAGCTTATCTTTTGTGCGTTTGTACCAGTTTTGTCCACAGTGTACACAGACCTGCCAACCCCTGATAAAGGAAAATCTGGAGACCCATGAAAAAAAATCTGGAGATTCTATAAAAAATAGTGAGATTCTATTTTTTTCCCGATGAAGATTAAACAAACCCCTTTTCCATCGAGGAAAGTCATTAACAGTTTATTTTTCGCCATGTTTATACGATTGCGATCGCTTTCCTGCGCTGAACTTACAAAGACTACTGGGAAACTCAACATGGGAGACGCCTGGGAATTAGACCTCGTTCCCAGGGCCTACTCCCATTTCAAAATGGCGGACAGACACGAAGAGAAACGATTAAGTTTATTGAACACAAGCGAAAATCACAGCTGGGTACAAAAAAGTAAGAACAGTGTTCTTCTTTATTAGGTTTTCACTTTATGGCACAAGCGTTCCTCGTTAATTTCCCATTTTTATTCTGATTCAACAACTTAAATCATTTCAGAATGATTTTTCCCAAAACCCGTGAGATTGAGGAGCCTTGTCCTGAGACCATGAGAAATGACAAAAAATCGTGAGACTCACGGCAGAACCGTGAGAGTTGGCAGGTCTGTGTACAGCATTGTAAGTTTATTCGGTGTTGAATCGAGGCTTGTTTATATTCCTTTTCAGAGGTGATGGGGGAAACAAAAGGGAAAAAGATAGGTACCTTACGTTGTCGTGGGTTGAAGCCTCCTGTAATCAGGGGCTATGCCGCCGCGTTCGGTTACTGGTTTAGAACGTTTGGGCACACCGAACAATATAGCGAAGCCATTATCACGGCTGAAGATGGTTCTCAACAGGTTATCCCAAAGGGAAATCCGATGTCTTCGCCTGGTAAGCTATAAAATTACCTTCCTTTTTCTAATTTAATCCAAAAATTTTTTTGTTATTTTTTATAACGTTAAGCCTATGTAAGTATGGATTCCTTGTCACACTTTTGCCTCATGGTCAACTCCTTAATTCTGAATATAATGTGATCAAAACATGCAAAATCACCACCCTTCATCACTACTATATGTTTTATCATTACAAAATACATATACAATAACTAACTAAACTTCTCCCCTTTTCAAAAACTAGTCAGAGATTTCAACAGATCGTTATTTTAATGGAAACTTCTAGCGAAGATCCTTATTCTACTGTTGTGTTTTATCTTGTTTTTGATATTTTGTTGGTAAAATAAATTGGTGTCAAAATTGAAGCTATCTGATTTAAACAGTTCAAGGTATCATCCACCCTCAAGTACCTTCCTCGCGTAGATTGGCGCTGGCGGTTTTGCTTTTAACAAATTAATACCCCCATAAACCGTACATTTTCTGAATGCTTAATAGTTCCAGATTATTGCTTATTTCTTTTAAAAAATCAAAATATTAACGAAATTTAGAAATGAGAAACTTTTTGTGAAAGTGGGTGTTACTGTGAATTTAAGTCCAGTCCAGCCAAAATTAACGGAAGAAGCCAATTAAGAACGCATTCGCTTCTTAACACGTTTGGCTGAAAAACCATGTCTCAGATTTTTGTCAAGTGCGTTTGTTCTGTGTTATAAGCAGGTGAAGTTAAGGATAGCAAATCGTTAGTACTACCTGTGAAAAAAAATACTCCAACTTGAAAACGAAAAAAGAAATCAAAATTCGCAGGCAAGGTTTTTTAGAAAAAGTATCTGACAGTAAGTTGGCCAAATTTCAGCCAAATTGGTGTAGGGGTTGCTGACTTGGAGTTTAAAACGTACCCTCAACTTGCCCTGATTTTCTTTTGAGAAAACAGTGGAAAAAGGTTTTTGGCGGCGTATTACCCATGACGAGATTATAACAGATTATAACACCAAAGCTGTCAATGTTGACGCATACCAGAGAAGAAACAAAAATAGTGACACAGCAGGAAAAGTTGAAAACGAAACCCAACAACAGATGGACAATTTATTTCAAAGGCTCTGCTCTGTTCGATCCTTTCTGTTTTCGAGAAAGCTTCATTAGTTATTCTCAACGGGTAGTTTTCATTTTCGCACCAAACAAGCCAAGTTGAGCCGAGCCCACTTTTACTCGATACATTTTTTAAAAGTTCGACACTTCCCTGGAAAATTCGACAGCAAACCACTTCCTGGAGTTGTTCTTAAAGCTTTTTTCCCGCTACAATAGACTTTCAAAACAATGCCGTCCGATTTTTTATATGGCGTGGGACCTCTTGTGACTTTGTCTCTTGCTTGGCTGCTTCGCGGCCTAAAAAGCTCGCTCCGCTCGCTAATGAACTCGCGAAACTCTATTCCGCGGTAGTTTCAATGGGTTTTTCAGGAGCTTTGTCATCTTTTAGCCATTCTCATTGATGGTAGTAGGAGCCCTTGTCGCTCTCTGCTAATTTCGAAGCCCACTCTTTGGCGGCAAAACAATTTTGTTGTCTTCTTTTGTGGAGTCGAGAACGAAAACAGACGAGCTCTTTTTTCTTCTTTGGAGGCATTCACTTTCAAAATCCAGGGAAAAACAGTGAGTACTATACTTGTAAACCACGATTTCTGTCAAATTGCGTTATTAGCTTGGTTCAACAGCGGCACGCGTATTAAGTATGAGAGGACTTGTCAACGATCAATTAAAATAATTAGCGTAGAAAAAACTTTTGCGCTCCATAATTCTGCACAGAAAAAACGTTTTTTCGTGGATTTTTTTTTTAATTAGAAAGCTGTTGATGAGCTCAATTTAATAGTCTAAAAATTACAAATTTAGAAAAATGATGATTTTTTTACCCTGAATGATACCTTAATATTGTGATAAGGAAGTTCATTAAGTAATAGATAGACCATAGTGTTAAATTTGAATCATAATCACTGAATTTAATTCAAATCCTAGTTCAATAGAAATTTAATTCAATAACCAAAATATGTTGCTTCATGACAATGGCCCCTGATTTTGCTATGTAAATTGTGGCTTGATAATCAATGAAGAAATGCATCCATGAAAATGTGCCTTTAAAAAACTTGTACAAGGTTTTCCTGTCCTTGAAAGATGAGCCAATCTGGTTAGGCATGTGAAGTTTTTGTGAATGAATGATTACTGAAGAACTGTTATCAGCTATTTAGTCTTATGTTGATGGTCTAATTTTCTTGTTTGAAATTTTAATGCTGTGCATGTTCATTTTCAAATTTATTTGATAATTATTTTTGATAATCAACTGGGTTAGGACTGTTAATTGTTATTTAATGTATGTGTAAGTCATCGTTATTGTCATGTCAGTTACTGAGAATAGTCCTCTTAGGACTACACCAAACCAGATTCTTCGTGCCACAACCTATGACATGACGCCTGAGTGTTCAAACATTAATTTTAGGTTCAATTTATTTCTTTTGTATGCTCAAATGACCACTGGAGGAACTTACTTTGTTCTGATTTTTCTCTCGGTAATAGTATCTCAGGGTTTTACCATCTTACAAGTATGATGCTTGGGCAAATTGTAGCAAATTTATAGCCCTTTCTCCATTCACCAATAAATCCTCACAATGAAGGGATTTTGATTGTATTATTTTCATGCTTGTCACTAATTCTTGGATTTTTGGGATTGTGTTTTAGCTGTTACTCAGACCATGAAGCAGCTGGTGAAAAGAGCAAAGAGACCCACTGCTAGGGATACGCGGCATGGGAGAGTGCCTTATGAGCCTAAGAAGGCTCCACCCTTTACAATTCAGCAGATGTTGCGTATGCGTGCATACTGCTTAAATACAATCGAGGTAATCACAACTCAAGTTTAAATCCTCTTGACCCTGCTTGTAAATGGCTAACAGGCTGCCTCCTGCTAGTTAGGGTTCTTTTATTTTATTATGTACCCATTTGCATTTCCTGTGTACTGGTTTAAAGTTATTTTAAGTGGAGGGATGCCTGTAAGTTACAATCGGCTACAAAATTGTTGAGACATTGTACTAACTAAAGATAGGGTAACTTCAGAGAACAAAAGAGTCCAAAAACCTCCCCCCTCCCTTCCATTCAAAGTTGGGGTGTTTGATGTTTTCTATAGCTAGTTTGAACAGCGGCACAACATTGCATGGAGGGGATGGGGGAGGAAAAGCTTTATTCTCTCTTTTTGAAGTCGGTAAAAAATCAAAAAGCCCCTTTTGGTTGAGGTGTCTCAACTGCATTTCCATGTGAAACAAAACATGTATCATTTTACGGCTGATAGATTTTAAAATGATGAAGATAAATTAAAGACCTTGCAGTGAGTTGACTCAATGGAATGTGGCAAGGATCTCTTTCAGCAGAGAGGGAGGTTCAGGTTATCCCATGTTTTTCCCTTTTGGAAAATTCTGTTATTTATCTGGCTAGCCAAAGATCTTACTTTAGAAGAACCACAATATAACAAATGGCAATGAGGATGTGTAGTAAAATAGTTTTCATGTCTAGTTTAAAAAGTTTTATAAAGGTTGGTCATATTCATATATTTCACTATTGTTTGTGCAAGGAATATTGAGGACTTATATAGAGGTCAAATTAAAAGGTACACTACAGGAGGCAAACAACGTCTGTTTAATTGACTTTGCCATTGCCGAAAGTGATAGCCAAAAAGTGTACCTAGTGAATGTCATTTCGAGTAGCCAGAAAAATGTAACAGCCAGGATTAATTATGAAAGTAATTTAATGATCATTTAATTATTTATTTTAGTGATAGCTAATAATTTAACACAAGCTTTTTAAAGCCTCTCGAGCCTTAAAGGGAAGGTGTGTTAGAATCAATATTGATTTTACCTGAAGATTCCGTGATCTCACTCAGCACCTTGATTGAGATGAAATTTTACATAAAATGTAAAGGTGGTTTTCCAGGTTTCACTTCATCTGATCTGTTTTAAAACTAGCTTAAAGAATTTGTCAGGTATTTTTATTTCATGTTCACTTCCCTGTAAGGCAAGTTAACAGCAAAATTCATTAGCCTGACGTCAAAATCTGTTTGTCATATTATATTAATTAATGCTTGTTTTATTTACTACCTATTAAATTATGATATAACATATTTATATAATTTTTTTTCAGGGATTACGAGGTTTATGGTTGTGGACCATAACTTTGTTCTCTTTTGCTCTGTTCCTAAGAGGGGAGGAACCTCTCCGACTGAAGGTTAAGAACCTGAGGTTACCAGCCAATTTCAATTCAGGTATTGAAAGTTGTATATTCTAGGTTGTCTTTCATAAACAAACAAATGGTTAAAAAGTTAACTTCTGTCACCTTTATTTGGCTGTTTTATGTTAAGTGGTCACCCTGTATTAGGTAGTCTCACTCACAGCCGCTTTTGTCTTGACTCATTGAATGTTCCTCCCCAACATATGGCAACTCACACTCGATTCACATGTCATTGCTTTCCAATATTGTTTTATCAACCCACAGAAATGACCAATCATTTATTATCAAACTGAAAATGACATCAGTTTACCGCATTTTGGTGCAAAGAATGTGCTTGGCCCTGTGATTTCTAGTTTTATCACAGGTGTTAGCTATGATGGGCCAGGTTCAGTTTTGATTCATAAACACTGATTGTAGAATCATGGCAAAACTGAAAGACACATTTAGCACTGAAATGGGTGACTTCAAACTGTGCAGTGCTTGGCATATAAAAGCTGGAATAATTTGACGTATAGGGGCAGTACATTCTGAGGAGTCGCTGAATAATCATTATTATACAGATCACTAGGCTAGCTACCAGTCAATGTCTCCTGATTTTTTTACTTTTGTCCCATTCCATTTTATTTTATTTTATTTCATAATCTGTAGGGGAGCCAATTACAATTCCAAAACGTATTGAGGTGAAAATACCATGGTCTAAAGCAGATAGAAAGGCCAAAGGTATGTATATTAGTACTTATCGAATTATTTCTTCTTTTGTATGTTGTGTGTAGGGGCACATGCTAACCATCTTCACCTTCTAGCATTATATTTCAACTCACCAATGGCTTGCTCTCAGCTGGCTCAATTATTGCAAACAAGGTCGTGCCAGTTAAGATCCTGATCACCTCTGAATTTTTCAGCTTTCTTTTTCACAACTGTTTAATTGAGTTGTGAACATAACTGCAATGCTAGGGATCTTCACTTGTTAAATCTTTCTTCCACTGTTTCAATATTATGAAGTCCCTAAATTCACTTTGGTTTTTTTGTTCCTTTTTTCTTTTCGTTTCAAATTTTCCAACGATGCTAACTGGTACAGTGGAACCCTGCTCTCAAATATCTGCTTCATACAGATGCAGACAGTTTTGGTTGTCCTGATGAAACACTCATGTTGTCTGTAAAAGTAACCTGCTTATGTGCACAGGTTAATATGGACAACTGACACCTTTTTCTACCCAAAACACAAAATATAAATTCTCATATTACCTCAACCTTGCTTTATGCACACTGGTCATTTGCGAACTATGTGTGATTAATTTTCTTACCAGTGCAGTGTGCAAAGGAAGTAGTGTCCGATAGCCCTGAGGCTAGTGAATTTTGCCATTGGGCTGCCAAATTCTGTTCTTAACTTGCCCGATGGGGAAGTGAAGTATTTTGGGAATTCAAATTACAGAAGAACTGTGAAATCAATTCTGCTCATCAAAACGTTTTGGGGCCTAATTGAAATAATGTTTGGGCTAGCACATGCTTAACCTGCATCTTGCCCAAATGGTAAGCTGTAAAACTGAGTTTCTTTGCATCCTTTGAGTGAAAACCTAACAATCTCAGCTGAAATCTTTTCAATAGTTCTGTCTAATGTGCAGTCCACCTGGCTGAGTCACAGATTAAAAGGATCAGTTCAAAGCTGCTGTATTTTAAGGCAAATACATTTTGAAGTTTTTATTTTTTAGCTATTGAGTCTTTTAACCATGATAAATGATATGAGGTATCTTTAGAAATAACTTGTACTTCAGTTACAGTTACGAATTTAAGCAACGTTTTCTCCATAGCCTTGTAAACATGTGTGAGGATTTTTTTCTGACAGCCCCCTTCAATGTGGACACCTAAATTAATAATACCGGTGACATATCTTCTTGGTGTCCATATCAAACAGGTGGTACTGTATTACTCTCTTTTGGTGGAAGGGTTCATACTGAAGGCCTCACTTTTTTATGGTATTAAATTTCAAAACGTTTGATTTCAGGAGTTACACTTACCCTGTGGAGCAACCCATTATGTAAGGAGTTGTGTCCTGTGAGAGCCATCATTGCTTGGTTACTTGTAGCAGGTCTGTGATTTCAAAACGAAATGCTTCTTGTGGCCACTTTCATAAGCGTCCAGCTCTAGTTATAACCTTTTCTATAGTGATCAACCCTGCTCACACATCACAGATAGGTTCAGACTCATCTGCATAACCATCATAATATCCAATTCCAGTAATTACCAAGTAGACATTTCCTTTGCTTTCAGCTCGCTATTTCTGCCCACCTTGCAAACTCGTGCATCAGGAGTAACATATTATCTTTATGAGCTTGATATTCTAGATAAGTTAGAGGTTGTTTTGAATTGGATGAAGTTGTTAAGTTTGTGTTGCAAGGTGCATTTAATTATTTATATGTATATATAAAATTATGTTGGACCTTATGTATGATTTTGTTATCCCTTGTAACTTTCCAGATATTCGTAGTGGTTACCTCTTCCCAAGGATTTCCAAAAACAACCTTACATCTTTGCGAAACAGTGCTCGTGGTGTTACCACCTACAGGAAAACATTTGTTGAGGTATAAATAAATAATAATTTTGATATATATAAAAATTTACTGAAAATCTGCTTCAGCCACCGCTTGCTGCTTGAGTTGGGTGTATTTGTAGACACCCGTAACAGACAGGTATCAGGTAGAGATAGTTGAATTCACATGCTTCAAATTGCTTCAATGTCAATCTCATTTTTTCAAGATGTCCAAGGCTCTCTTTGAGAAGGAATTCACCACCCACAGCATACGAAGATCAGCAGCTCGATGGGCAGCCCGTTGTGGGGCAGATGATAGTACTATCAAAAGAGCGGGAAGATGGTAAGTATTTTCTTTTGTCCCCATACGGGACAACAGCAAATTTCATTTTTAAGTAAACATAACTTTGTGAGGGTAAGGGTGTGGTTCATTCACGAGGCAATTGTCTCGCGCTTATCTAAATATTCTGAAATGTTTCTTTCAGAGACTCTGCAATATTTTCATATTGATAGACTATAGTGCACATATGCATGTAATATTATACTGATAGAACTGTCCATGTATTTATTTATTATGCATTGGAAAAAGAGGGTTTTATAATCAGTTTTGATTTTTCACAGTTTCCACAGAAACTGTATTTAACATCATTTCATGTAAGTAAGTAAGAAAACTGAGCGATGGTTAGGTTCAAAACAAAGAGATTCTATTGCGCTTCAGTAAAATCCAACTAAGCCCACTAGTAGCGAAAAGCGCCGCCTGTTTGGCAGCAAAAAAGGATTAAAGTCTAGCTTTAAGTAGCTAAAATTTTTTTATTCTCCATACTTTTGAGTAACTAGTCGGATTTTACCAAAACAATTATTCCTCTCGCCCTCATGGCCTCTGAGTCAATAGCCCATTCGGCTTTCGGCCTCATCGGCTATTGACTCAGAGCCCATTCGGGCTCGAGGAATAATTGTTAACTAGTCGTTGCTTGTCATTAAATCACTTAATTCCCGCAGCAAGCAGATAAAATCGCAGGTTTCCAGGCTTCACAAAACTTTGAACACGTGGTCTCTCTAGAGAGCTGTTTTTTGAATGTAGCTATCAAGTCAATTGGAACAAGCTTAGAGGGGAAATGCTTATCAGATCGGCTGATGAATGGCTACTGTGGGCAGTCAGTGGGAGAAAAAAAATGGCACTGCCTTCTATTCTGTGCAGTTTACTAGGTCATCGACTCATTCACTTGTTTCATTGAAATATGTGTACATGTACTGAAAGTGTAATAGTTTTGAGTGAAACAACTAATTCTAACATTGTTTCATTCTAGGAAATCCAGTGCTTTCGAATTGTACACTCAGGATGCCAGAGCCGAAATTATTAAAGAACAACACGATGGAAATGTGCTGTTTGATCATAAATTGTGGATGTTTAAACCTTTACGATAGTATCAAGCAATCAAGTCTAGAGTTTCTCAACCTCCTCAGGAAGCAGCTCAGTTTTCCCGTCTTTTTTATAGATCATCTAAATAAGTCAATCCTGTGTGGACTAATTGAAATCATGTGTTTGACAAATGCGCAGTCGGCTGCCGAAAAGAACCGTTAGTCATGCAATTGACCAGGATTTCCTATACGGACAAACCAAGGATGGTCCTAAATGATTTCTCTTATGTTGTTTATTCTAGCCTCCAAGAAATGTCGTGTTGTACATTTGTGTTACATACGAAACGATGGTGATCCCAAATGAAACTTCACAAAATTTTAGATAGAATTATTAACAGAATTAAGTCTAGTGCGTAGCTCGGAAAGGTTTATCTAGGAAATATAAGTTACGGAAACATTTTAATTTTTTTCTGCCAATAAAGCCGGGATGTAGGGTTAGGGTAGCCTGAATTTCATCCGATTGCTTCTTGTCTGAGGGAGTAAAACGACTCGAAATAATCGGATGAAATTCAGGCTAAGGTAAGGAAGGGTAAGTCTTAAATCCTAGTCCTTCAAGATTTTTGAAAGCACAGTTTAACGTGATCAAACCTGTACGAAGGCATAAGCTCGCTTATTTTACTGGAGAATTATTATTCAAATTGAATTATAATATAAGAGGGAAAAGCTGGTAGGAAATGAAAACATACTAACCGAAAAAAAAGAAATAAAGAGCGGAAGTAATCAACTTATTAATGCATAAAAGTGTTGTTTGTTTAACCTGGATAAGGGTAACTGCAAGTACAGAACTGCAAATCTAGCGGACAAAATTCAGCGTACAACTACGTAATCTAGATTGTTGCAAACTATGAAAAACACAACGAAAGGGAAACCGAGCAAATCCTTTTACAAATTTTATAAAAGCCAGATTGACAATCATAGAACGTTTCATTTTTGGGATCTCACTTTGATGATCACTTCATGGTGAAACTTTGCGTATATTCTCTTTCGGGTTTTTCCGGGCTGATTTGCTTGTTTCCCCTGTTTTTTCTTTTTCTTTATTTGTTTAGATTATAGAATTCACTCTTTAGTCCCTCTCTGGAGGAGTTCATGGTGGCCCATATTATAAAAGGAGAATTCATCCCCTGTTGCTTTCGCTACTTTTCTAAACAATGTCGTGAATGAAGCCACTACATCTGGATCTGAAAAAAAAAAATCCGCATTGTGGTACGTATCGAAAAGGAGCTGAACCGGTTAGGAGTTGTCGTCCATCATTGTCGGGAGTGTTCGACAAAGGTGAAAGACTAACCTGTTGTTTAACGTTAAACCCCATGGCAAGATAAAAGTAAGATCGAACCACCACGTGTAATTACCTCCGACGTCAATGATTACCTTCCAAAAGTGCGATTATTTATCGAAAAGACCCTGACAAATTTCCGAATCAAACCAGTACATTTGGAAATGGCCACCTCTTTGAATTATGTTTGTAGAATTTTCCATTGTTTATCTCCCTATAAGCGACCATTCAGGAATAGTTTGATCTCTACGTTCGCTGTGTGTACTACACGACTCAGAGTATGAGAATTTTTCGTGACAAGAAGAAACTACGCATATCATGTAGTATAAATTGCATGCAATGAATTCTTCTCCATTGATTGTCTCAAAACCCAAAACATGGCTCGTTGCACCACAGGTGTTGGATTGCGAAAAGCTAAGCCTCGTCCTCCTCACTTCGTTCACGTCTACTTCCGGGTACGAAGTATACCGTGTTTTTCTTGATTTTGATATCAGACACGAGTTGTAGTATATTTTTGGCATATTGGAAAATTTATCTCGAGTAACGTGGTATTCCACCAACAACCGTGCATGGCCGACGGTGAAAGATGTGCTTATACAAAAGCCCTAGCCTGTACATAGACGTTGTTTTACCTTTCTTTTCGTTCTTTTCGAATCGGTGAGCACGAAAGAGCGAGCGCATAGCGCGAGAAAATTCTCGCACCCCCAACCCTTGCGCTGGCGGTCAATAGATCCACCACGGTTTTTATTTTTTATCACGCGCACTTGACGGACTTCGAAGAGAAAATAGAGAGTCTGTGAAAAGGCTACACCAGCAATTAATCCATAGAGAAAATCACCCATTTTAAACCTACTAAACTGCTTTTTCACAGACTAATTTAATTTTTGGCATACTGCTAAGTAATACAAAATATTACACTTTCTCATTAAACTGGCAGTTGACTACCGTATTTCCTCAAATAATAGCCATCCTTCGACTAATCGCCTCCCTCTAATAATCGCCCACCACCCACCCCCTCTCGTAGTCTTCTCTTTCTTTTTCCCCCTCTCTGTCAAGTTGAAGTGGGAACTATTCAAGCTCTGAACAAGGAGCCAAATTTGAACACTTAAAAAGCCCATGTTCAGTATATTTGATGTGATAAATTTTTGATTTAAAGGGATAATAATAATAGAACAAAATATTTAGGGCACGACTTCCAGTGAACAATATTAATCGCATTCCCTCTAATAATCGCCCCCCGTTTTGAGGCGAAAAAAGGCAAATAATGGCCCCCGCTACTATTCAGGAAATACGGTAAGTGGTCTCAATTATATATTTGCAGACGACATCTTATGACATTTGACTGTTAAAAGTGGTACGAAAAGCATTCTAAAAATAAAGTTCCCGTTAAAATGCTGTTGCATAAAAACATGACGTTGCGATGAACAGGGGAAGAGAAGCCATGTGAGATTTCTGATCATCAGTTAGATTCTCATTCCAGATTGAGTCTTCTCATAAGAAAGAGAGAAGAATTTGCGATTGCATCAAAGTCACTTGGGCTTTATTCCATACACACCTTCAATTATTATTTCTCATCATTTTTACAATTATTCTGACCTTAGTCTCGGTGTGCTACATTTTTTCTTCCACAAAACAATTCCTGATTTTTTTTTCCAAATAGTAAAAATAACCGTAGATTTGATTCCTCTTTGTTTTTCCAATTCAGACCACGTGATGGTAAGACTTTTTGTATGCATACATACATACACCCTTGGATAGGGCGAAATGTGTTTGAAGAAACAGTGATCACCATCCATTCGAATTCATACCAACATGTAGTCTGAAATGAGAAGACGTCATATGCTAAAAGGTTTCCAAGTACCGAACTGAGGGTCATCCTCGGTGTAAAGCTGCGAAGGTTTTCGTTGTTTTCTAGCCATTATTCCTTGGCTCTATTGTGTTGACTTCTCAGTGACTTCTTAATATTGTTTTTTGTCACTCATTAGTTTCACAGGTTTTACACTGACTATGACGCGAACTGACTGTGACATTTTTTAAACTGTAACTTCGACTTAAATTTATAAGAAGGTGCAAACGAATATTTAGAGCAAAATGTGTTCTTTCTAGTGTCACGGTTTGTTCCTTGATTTTCGGCTGTTCGAAATGATTGACGGATTAATTCACCGTGTTTCTTGATCTTAAACGCATTCGTAACTGCGGTGTTTCTCTGACTCTGAGTTCCAGTTCGTTGTCTGAAATGTCTTCTTCATTAGAAGGGTGACCATCATCAGGATGATCTCCAGCCGCTGGTTGGTGAATTTCTTCATAGGACATCAATGCCCTTGCTGTGGACATTTCCATCGGCATATCCTCGTTTAATTCCTCTAAGCAATTTGAGCAAGGAATTCCACAGTTAAAACAGACTGGAATGTTGGTGTTCCATGCCACAGTCATCGGTTCATTATCCGCGAAAGGCGTTGCTGTGTCTGGAAGACAAGGCCTCTTCCGTCGCCATTGATCCTGGCACCAGTGAATCATTTTGTCAGTTGCCTGTTCCCCAAACGACCAATTTCCAGTAGCTTGTTTGGCTTCCGTCTCAAGAATTTTTTGTTTCAAGTGAATGAATGCTTGAAACTCGAGCAGTTTGCAGATAAAATTGGCGACCACCTTGTGCATTCCAAACGTAAACTTAACATGATCAGGTTGCCCGGTTCTAAGGCGCTTACTCTTCTGGCCAGACATAAGAAGAAACTGCCACACAGCGATGTCATAAAGAGGACGCAAAAATGCAAGTGGATTGCTCGACGGCATTTTGTCGGAATAAAGGTTAATTTTAATTAATGTTAATTTTCAAATATTTTCGACGCACGTGTAACAGAACCGGATTTCCGGATAAATTCCATATTTGGATGTGATATGTTTTTGTACCAATCAAAAGACAACCAACTAGGTATTGAAAGCCAGGAAAGATCGAGCAGTGATCGAACCACGATGGCGGCGTGTTCTTCAACTTCGTGCCAGAAATCTTCCAAAAAGCGACTCCCAAATAGCATATCTGATTTACTAGATGTCGCTATATTTACCTTTGCCTGCCAGACAGGACTAAGAAGTTACCACAAGATTCGTGGGAATCCAGTCCTGGAAGGCGTATGTGCCTTCTTTGGTCAACTCTTACAAACGGCAAACGAAGAGACGAAGCAAGAGTTGCAAGAAATCTCCGCCGAGAGATTAGGCGAATGGCAACCTGGCAATGAGCCGACGCCCCAGCTTTTAACCTTTGTATCCTCGCGGATGAAAGCGTTAAAGGAGAAGCAAGTTATCAAAGAAAACACCAACCCTGAGGTACCGGCGCTACTTGTCGAAAAGAAGGAGAAGTTTGACGAGGAACAGGACAGAGTGCGGACCAGAACGTTGCCCAGGTGCTGGCGTTGTCAAAGTCGATGCCAATTTTGTTTGAAGCGGAAACGTCAATTCCCAACATTCGGAAACTTCAGAGCCGAGTAAGTTGCATACACATTTGCATCAGTGCATGTCCAAAAAAAGTGCTTGCACATGCAGGGACAGTGGCGAGGGTGGGGTGGGTGAGGATTCACGCACTGATCATGCAGACACACTTTCAGCGACCATTTGAGTTTTGAGGGCCCCGGATTATAATTAATAGGTGATTTTCAGGGCCCAAAAAATAACTTAATTTGCAAGGATTTTTCGGAGATTTCATAAAAATACTATTTTTTACTTTTAATGTTTTTGGCTGGTATTTTGCCTTGGATTTTTGTCTGCTAATTCTCAATTAATAATTGGCTTGCTGCACTGTAAGAATTTTAAACAAATCAGTGGCTGGTCAAAGATTTGTTCTGCCTTAGGTTACTTTGAATGATTTACCCGAGTGTTTCATGGGAATCTTTTTGAGATTCTATGTGGCCAGATTGTAGGTAAAATATAGAGTAACAAATGGCAAAAATCTTTTTTTTTTTCTCAAGCACGTCAACCCATATAGTCTCATTCACAGCCATTATTAGGTTCGTCATGCAACGCTCCTCCTCACTAGGCCTTTACTGGGGAATTTTTTATAATATTTTTTCAGGCTTTCTTTTTGCAAGTCCAGGAAAAAAGACAAAACCAAAAATGGGGTGGTGAGATGCCACACAATAGATATTAAATACAGTATTTTTGTTATTGTATCATTGTTTCAGTCATGAATCTGGCCAGAATTGGTTGACTAGCACTGTTATTTAATTAGTAATTAAGCAAAATGGGCCACATGACACTTTTCATCTGTTGGAACGGAGAGGATTTTTAAAAATCCTCCCCGTTCCAGCCACGGAAAAATTTTGTGTGGTACAATGAACAATTTACACATGATTCAGGGTATTATTGTAATTAACCATTCCTGAATACCTTTATTTGAATTTTCTTTCGAATATCATTATGACGTCACGTTTTACATGACCACATCA